CTGCTGGGCTGCAGGGAGGACAGAGGGCAGGGTCAGCTACAGATCAGCACCCCTGGTTCAGGGAGGAATTAAATGTCTTGCTCAAGGACACTTTCTTCTGTTAAAGGGTAGTCTCCAAGCACCAGGCCTCCCTGCGCATAAAGACATCCCTATAGCTGTGAGATACATGCGTGTGGTATATCTGAGGTATAAAATGTATCAGCTCCTTCTTTTGGTGCAGTGCTCATCCAAGTTACATCTTACTCGGATTGATTGGAAAAATTCCATCTGATTTATCGTTAAAAGGGATTAGTAATTTCCACTCCATTAGTAAGCCACGGTAATTGATGAATGGCATCATCACAAGAGATGAGAACTTTCATTCACTTTCATTAAAATGTCATTAAATGTCTCTCTCTGAAATAATTCAGTCCACAGCCCCTGACTCCGTGTTGATCTGAGTGGCTCTGAGTTTGTCTTGGGTGACGGCCTGCTTGGTCATAGACTTTTTGGGAATTACATTTGTTAACTTTCTTGCTGAGAGTTAGATGAGAGGAGTGATATCACTCTTATGTCTGAGCGCTAAGTGTGTAGCTAGAGCCAGCAACAGGCTAGCTTAGCTTAGCACAAAGACTGGAATCAGGGGAAAACAGCTAGCCTAGCTCTGTCTGAAGGTACCAAAACTTGTCTATTGGCACCTCTTTAGGTCTTTAAGTAACACATTATATCTCATTTGTTTAATAAGTACAAAACTCTTAGTGTAAAACGACAATAACTGCTTTACAGGGGGTTAAGTGCGGGACTGTTCCTTGACCAGAAATACTTTTGATTTATGTTAAGCTCAGTAAGCTAATCGGTTGATGGCTTCAGCTTCATATTTAATGTACAGACGTGAGAGTGATTCTAAAAGAGGTGTAAATGTCAGCATAAATGGTTGTCCCTATAGCCCTTTTCCCACAGAAATCGCTCTAAAGGACTGCTACAAATTCCCCTCTTTAGAGCAGGGTCTCACTCCGAAGTCGTCGAAATCCGGCGCTTGGGCAGTGACTTGCGGAGTCAGAAACCAACGAAAAAAGGCGTCCCTTAACATCGGCGTGATATGCGGCCAATTGGCGTTATAGTTTCAGCACCTGATGGCATAAGAGAGAAACGTGGTGGGACAAGGACGAAAGTTAAGGCGGTGAAAGTCCATGTCGGGTGGGCGGGAGGGGTGGTGGATGGGTCCAACAAACCCCGAATTTCACCCGAGAGAGCGGTGTTAGCGTCCTGTAAGTTCAATTCCTGTGAAAACGGAGGTGTTTCTTGCAAGAAGAGAACTTGACATGGTGTACCAGAACATCAACAACCAATGCACCCAGGGTACCTTGCATGTCGTATGTGGATGTTGAAAGTGTGACGAGGTCGGAGCGAGAATGTGTTGCTCTTAAAGCTGCCTTTGCTTTTTATACAGCACCAAACAACAGTGGCCTCATGCCGCCCCAGATTTTAGATGACATGCTGGCATCCCACAAGCAAAAAATACACTATGGTCGTGACATGTAACGCAACAGCGTGGGCAGCACTTTCTGAACAATACAATGGCATAACATGGCAATAACAATCATTTACAGTCCCTGTTTATTGGCGGCTGATCTCATCCTCTGCTCAGAGAGTGAGGAGCTCCCGGACCTCATTGTCACCATAATTTGGGGACATTTTTGGCTACTGTTCTTATTCTTTGAGTTAGTTGCTAATTGCTACCAGTTGCTTTTTAAATCTCCATGGGGTGGGTCGCACACATAACACATCGTCAAAACATCATATCTGTCTATCCATTACCCTGTCCCTTTTACACAGATGTCATTTTATTGCTGTATTGTCCTCCGCTGCCAACTTAAAGGCAAGACAACTGTGAAATTCACACCTTGAACAGGCAGTGTAAAAGGGGCTCATGTGTCAGCCCTGTGATAGTCTGGTGACCTGTCCAGGGTGTACCTCACCTTCACCCGATGTTATCTGGTATCACTTTTCTCATCTATTTCTTGGCAATAAAGCAAATAAGTGTATTCACAAAATCATATTTTTTAAAAAGATATTTTCAGGGCATTTTTGCCTTTAATTGATAAGAGAGGGGTGACGACATGCAGCAAAGGGCCTTAGGTCGGAATCCAACCTGTGGCTGCAGCCTTTGCACATGCGGCGCCTGCTCTACCAGGTGAGCTAATTTGCACTCCAATATCTCATATTTTTAAAGTAAGCTATGTCTACTTGTGACCATGGGACATTTGTTAAATACTTTTACAGGCCTGCAGAGCTACAATGATCAGCAATTCACAAGAAAATGATAAGAAATTCTGAAAAAATACCCCTGTAATAAACAATCCAATACTTTTGTGGTTAGAAATATGTGTGTTTTTCTGATTTCCTGCTATGAACCCTCAAAGTTATCTTGCAGCCTGACTGCGGATGGGAACAAATGCCTTAGGCAAACCAGCATGGGCTTGTGGGTACAGAAATTCTCAAAACTGTATCATCACCTCTTAAGTCCCTTTAAACCAGCGGATTTTTTTAGCTGCATGAGCAAGAAGTTGAAACAAGTTGGAAACTCAATATTTATGCTGATATGGGAGACTTGTTAGCAAACAGTTGTTAACTGTATTTATACATCAGTAGTGACGGAGTAACATTATCATTTGGAGTCCAGTTTGTGTCCACCTGAAGTCCAGTATGTTCACCAGCTCTAACTGCTGTTTGGTGCTGAGCAGGTTGGCAACAGCGCTATAGAGCTTTTCTTTGTTCAAAGCAGTTACCTGCTGCTGAAATCGTTGCTCTGAAGGTGGTGAGAGTGAACAAAACCAGTGAAGTTGAGGCCGGACAGCTTAACAATGACCTGAAACTCACTGTAAAGCTCTGTAAATCAGAGGGAAGCGGCTGATCCAGCTGATAAATCTTTGTAGGTTCATCAAACATCACACTGTCACACTGTTTTCCAGCTGCCATTTCATTGTTATCATAAAAAATATAGATCACATTTGGTTTGAAAAGGTCCTGTGGGGACAGCTGATTTTCTCCAGACTCAGACATTTTGGGTAAAATGTGCTTTGTGGAATACAGAGCAATCTCTGTGCAGACTGTGTAATGCTGTGCTGATTCCCTCCAACTGATATTTTTACACAAGAAAGTGTCTCTGGTTGCTCTGCAGCTGCAGTTGGAAATCCACAAATCCTGGAAATCCCATTTTCAAACTGATATGATTGGAAATTTGTTGAAATTCAGACACAGTCCCCCGAGTATTCCCTGATAGGCAATTTGTGGGCAGTCAAGTTGATAGACAAGGGCACAACATGCTCTATCACTAATGAATAACCCTGCTGCACTTACAGGCATCGGCATTCACTCATGCACTGGCCTACAAACTCTGTGTCCCTGTCTCTCACACACACGCGCACACACACACACACACACACACACACACACACACACACCTTTCCTGCTTTTATATCGCCATGCCATCCGCACTGTAAGTCCTTGATACGCAGAACGCAGCAACGCTGTATCCCAGCACTCCCTCCCTCCCTGCCTCTCTCTCTCTCTCTCATGTGCCTCAAGGCGCTGACTTATTTCCCCGGAGGAGTGGTGCAACTCCCTGCCAATTCTTCCCAATCCATCAGTGAACGTTCTGCCCCCCCGGGGCTCCACGTGTTTTTCCACGATGTTTTTTTTTTTTTTTTAAACCCACACCGTCATACTGACCAGGTCTTTGACAGAGAAGGAGCTGCTTCCACCTTATTCTTATGTTGAGTCTGGTGTGAGAGTGAGAGATGGGCAAGCTGTGTGTCAACACCACCATAACTGAAGCGACACAAAAGATAATTGACTAGTGGAGGCTGCTGGCTGCTGTCTAGGGTGCTTTTCATTAATAAATTGAGATTTAGCAACTATAAAATTGACTTTAATATTATTATTATAAGTATTATTATTATTATTATGATTATTGTTATGAGATCCCTGCATGATGTGAAATCTTGTTGAAAATGTTGTACTTAACGCAGCCGATCTTAAGCAATCTGAAGTGTGCCGACCCCAAAAAACGCAGGTGACACTGTGGCCTGGCATGCGTTGTTGAGAGTCAGCCTATTGTTAATATAGTTGAGTGTCAGAGGGCTTACTGAATGGAGGAAAAACAAACAGTAAAGTGTATTTTTCTTGTGTCTGATTACAAGTCAGCAATGACACACAGAAACCACATACACATGCACAAAAAAACAAACAAACAAACAAACAAAAAACTTTTCGGGCCGCTTAAAGAACAAGTCAAATCAAGTCTATCTATCTATCTATCTATCTATCTATCATTGCCAAAGCATTTCATAAAAAATAAATGAAAATTAAAACAACAAAATAAATAAAATAAAATAGAATAAAATAAAAAAGTAAAGGAATAAATAAATTAAAAATAAAAAGTAATCATATTTTACGTTACTTTTTTTATTTTTTTTTTTTTAACAGATGAATACATATGAGTTGTTAGTCCCTCAGGTTGTGGCAGGCAGATACATGTTTAGCTCCCAAAGGAGCTGTTGTCCCTTCACCCAGGAGAACTGCCACTTTCTGTTGCGGGGTTAATGTCAGGAAGTTTGGAATTGTCTTGGTTATTTCTCCAAAATGAAAATCTCTGACTGAGGAGAACTTTTCACAGTAGAGGAGGAAGGAAATGCATTTCTGTATCTACCTCACCTGTCCAGAAGTGGCGACAAAGACACTCCTCTCTGGGCAGTCATGTCTGTCTGTGTCTCTCTGTTTCTACTTTCCTGTCTCTGACAGAGTGCAGATATTCAGCCAATGTCTATTGTTTCTTTAGAGTCATGTAACTATTTAGTCTACTTTGGTTTTGTATATTAGATATAGATCTTTTGATTGATTCATATTAAAAAAAAAATCTGGTTGGTTGTTTTGGCTCAGTGCTGTGGCAGTCTGATTGTTTAGTTTCATCATCAGCTGACTGAGGGGGGTGTTCTCTATCTATCTATCTATCTATCTATCTATCTATCTTTTTAAATCAATATTTCTTTTGTAATATGTGTTTTGGATGGTGACATGAGGTGTGCCATAGACTGTTTTGCATCGCTAAGATCTGAACTACCTCCAGATTTGGGGAAGACTCAGTACCACGGACAGCTCCTTTCTCTCCTCCCTCCTTCTCTCCATCTCTCTCCTCTCTCTCTGTGTCTCTCTCTCTAACTGTCTCTTCCGGGCGCACACTCGGCAGCTGGCTGCGATACAGCTCCTCCCTCCTGTGTGGTGGCTTTCCCGACCAAAGATCCTTGGACGTGAACAGTTTCGCTGAAGAGCACTTTTCTCCCCTCCCCAAACAACCAGACGGACAATCGAGGCGTCAGTTATTCTATATCGACCTGAGAGAGAGGAGTTAAGGTGTCGGATAAGGTCTCCAACGGTCCTTCACCTCCCCAAATCTCTGTCAGCGATGGAGACTTGGGCTGGCTTCTGCCCAGGCTTGCACTTATCTCTGGGTATCTGGGTGATGATAGCCGCTCATACCCTACAAAATGCCAAGGCGGAGATAACTTGCGCATCTTGCACGTCGCCGGTTCAACTTCACCTGGAGGAATTACAGCTAGGGATGCGCACTGACCCGACACAGGAGCCGGACACCCTAAAAAACATCCGAGTAGAGTTTAGGGAACTCGGGGTTACCGACCAAAACACTGGAGTGGACGACGGGCATGAGGCAGGCGTTTCTGTCGAGGATGTCCCCCAGTTCCCTCAAGATGTCAATTTGGATGGAGTTAGCGCAAAGGAAGATGCGCCAGGGTCCAGTGAAGAAAGTCACCGCGGCAGCGATAAGGCAGGGGAGCCTGGGCATGGTGAGGATGCTGCGCTCCGGAGAGCGAAGAGAAGCGGTCCTGAGTTTGCCGACTTGAGCCAGACCGGGCGGACCGGCTTGGATGCGGGCGCTCCGGGGGATCGGGGCTCATTGTTTGACGGACACAAGCTGGGCAGGTCTGAGTTCAGATGGAACAGGGATGAAGGGAGAGGGAATAACCGGCAGGATGAGCCCAAGCTCACCAGCAGCACTTTCTCCCTGACGGGGGACTCTGCGCATAACCACGCGGTGGTCTACTGGTCAGGTCAAAACAGCAGCGTAAGTCACTGTGATTTTTTTTTAATCTCCTCTGCACATTCTGCTCCTTTTACGACTCCATATTTCACATGAAGAGTGGGGATATTTTTTGAGCAGCCGGAGAACAAACTCCGTGACGCACAGAGGCAGAGACTTTGTGCTCTGTCGTGCCGCTGAGTTGTGGTTCACTGTTAACAGGTGCACTGGAAGCTACAGATGCGCACCGACGCACACTGTTCCCTAAATGCCAGACTTGTGCAGCGACTGTGAATTGCATTCGGTCGCGACCTTTGACTCCCCCAGCAGTAACACACGAAACCCCATCTCTGTTACAGCCTTTATTTTACTGCTTTATGGCATCACCCCCACATCTACACTGTGCATGCTCTGAAAGTGCATTTGGAGTATGATATGTAGTTTTGTCGTGATTTATAGCCGTAGTGGGAAAAATATTTATGATTTATTTGCACCGAATTTGAGATGTGCTACTGCATGATTCATTCCTCCCTAATGATGCAAGGTTTTTCATCCAAACTAATTGATTGGGGAAGGAGGGAGTCATAAATTATTGCTCAATCTCCAATAAGCCCATAAATTCTTTAGATTATGAATTTCTACCGAGTATGACATCTTGTGCTTCCCCTGAATTTTGGGGTTTACTGAACCGAATACCTAAAAATGACTGACTAATTTAGCTTTATTGACTGTTTGCGACATTTTTATTTTTTGTAACGTAATAGGTGATGTTCCATGCAGTTTTTATATGGCAAATGAGAAGGTGTCAGCCTTGAAATGCATCGCCACAGGCAGGGGGTGTTCAGTATTTGGAGGCTGGGTCTTATCAGCATTATTTCTAAGCAGAAGATGTGTGCCTTCTTGAAACAATGTTGCCTAATGACATGGACTCAGGGAATAAATGCTGCAATGCATTGTAGAATTGTGTCAGCACTGATATGACATATAGAAATTGAGGGAAATATATATATTTTTTTGTTATTCTAACCACTTAATTGATCAGTCAGGATTATTTCTGAACATTCATTTGCAGAATTTGTGTAATAAATACAGTCAAAATACTTAAAGAATACTAGATGCTCAGTTTAAAAGTGTATAATCAGAGGTGGAATCTTAACAGGTTTTCTTTGCTCTCTGGCTGCAGAACGACAGCATGCAGTCCTTTGCGTGTCACAACATAACCGTACAGGTCAAAAACAGGGGCAACCTGCTGCCATATCATGTGTAAATCTTTACAGCAGCAGCAAACAGTGCCACTTTCTCGTCTATAAAATGACACCAACCACATTCGAGTCCATTCTGCATGCGAAATGGATGAAAAATCCTGCCCCTCTTACACAAGAGGGCCCTCATAGGAAGAGAATAATGAGACAAAATGAATCAAAGTCATTTACACAACCATGTAAGCTCACAGGGTGCCGATGGGCTCTTCTTTGTGGTTTCACAAGCTTAATTTGTTGTTGTGGCTGTTCCTCTCGTTTTATTCCATCTGAAAAAAAAAAAAAAAAAATCCCACATATTCAGTCTTGTCTGAGCTGATTATGACATGGTGCATGAACTTGTTTTTTATCCTGCAGTGAAGACTGAGGCGCTGTGAGGGGAACATGTTTGTGTGTGTGCACATATTTGTGTGTGTGTGTGACTGCGTGAGCGTGTGCTGGATGGAGAGGTTGAGGAGGTTATTTTGCGCCGCTGCCCCTCAGCTTTAAATCTTTAATAATTATCTTGAAGACCGAGGCCTCTTTTTCAAAGTCTTTTCTTCTTTCGTGGCAAAAGAAGAGAAATCAGGCCTGGCCCTCGAGAGCATCCTCAAGAGAGGAGATCTGCTACTTAATCTTCATTGGCTGTTGGTGCTTGTTCTGGTGATGAATGGAATGGTGCGACAGGGAGATTGAGCTTGAAGTCTTCTAACTTAACTGCAGCAGTAGTTAAGTTAGAGGAAGAGTGAGTGTCTGGCTAACAGAATGACTAGCTGGTTGGATGGATGACCAGCGTGGTTCAGCCACCTTAACCCTGACTGAGTTCTTTGTCCATTGTGTGTTTTGTGGGCTCCTTCATTTTCATCGGACTGTCCCAGACTGTCCTCACCACAAACATGGTTATTTGATTAGACACTTTGAACCACTTGAGGCATCCTATTGGTCTTGTGGTTGAGACCTATATTGAACTAAACTACCCCTGGCTCTGTTCTGTTTACTGCACAGCATATGTTGTCTGTTGCCTCAACACTGTCAGCTACCAAAAAACCGTTATGTAAAACATTTTTAAACAACATATTGTTAGGTTTTCCTGAAAAGCCACATCTTGTGGCCACGCAAATAATGACGCAAACGTATCACGACAGTGTCATTACACCACAAAACCTCTTGGGAAAGAAGTTGGGCTGGTTGGTTTCACAAAGTGTCTGACAAAAACCCCTCTGTTTCCTACCAACAGTCTGGTTTCTTTTGACCTTGAACACAATTTTTCCTGAACCATAACTTTGTATTTCTTCGTTTCAACATGACAATGACAGTTCCACAGCATTGACCCAGTAGTTCTTTAAACCGTGACGATGATTCTTCTCTAACATTAAACAAGTAGCGGCCTCCAGTGTCAAAGTCAAGCACTGAAGGACACTACTATATTAAAGAAGTATTTACTGCTGGAAAGAAGGTGTCTCAATAAAACTGTCTTTGCAAAGGGAGACGCCAATACTTTTGAAATTGGTGTTACATGACCTGAGAAAACCGTAAAGAAAGGGACGTGGCATTTGCTTTGCTCAAGAGGTTGAAAACCTACAACTACCAGAATGCTGACATACGTGCTCCCGCTGGTGGGTGATGTAATGCAAGTTTGTCCAATACAATATGGTGGCCAGCAGGTAACAAATGTTCTCGAATTACAGATAAATGCTAAGTTAAAATATGTTTCTGAAAACATTTTAGGTGAGAAATAGACAATACAGTAACAGAATCTTGGTTTATAGTTGATCAGCATTTCCTAGTTTGACCATTTGATCGGAGCTTGGTCTGAGTTTGTGAGACAAGGCGATCTCTCTGGATATGCTTCTATACTTTTGTGGCCATGGTGGTGGCAGGCATGTACCCTGGAAATCCAGAGTTCTCGTGAGAGCTAAATTTGAATTTGCTCAGCGAGTCACTCTGGCAATCAGTAATGATGCTCATTACCCATGCCCTTGTAGCCGAGCTGCACCAATCACATCGGTGTATCNAGCCGAGCTGCACCAATCACATCGGTGTATCTGATATAGGTGGGCCAGAGGCGAGCTAAACAGATGACAACAGAGCTGCGAAGACAAAGTCCAGAATCAGTCAGTAAACATTGAAAGATGGCTACGGATGAACACCAGTTGTTTGAAACGGCTTTGGCTGCTACAATGAACGAGTTAGACTTGGCTTTTTCTCTAAAAGAGGAACAGAAGATGGCGCTTGAGTCTTTCCTTTGCAAGAAGGACGTTTTTGCTGTTTTGCCGACTGGAGGCAAGAGTCTAATCCATAGACATATATATGTCTATGGTCTAATCTACCAGTTAGCTCCGCTGGTAGCGCTCTGGGTACATCACCCTGTGTATTGTTCTGGTTGGTCGTAGTGTTATCCAATTGCGTGCAGTGATATTTTCAAATGCATGCGTGGTTGCCGCCCCTCGAGTTGGGCCATTTGCATTACTCATAGCCAGACCCTAAATCTTTCTAGATTTGGGTCTGGATTTCCAGGCTAGCGGGCATGCGAAAATGTGGAAGTATAATCTGTAGTTTGATTAACAGCCCTGGAGCCAACAGGGGAAGAAAATTAGCTGAGTGATGAGCAGAGAAATGTGCACTCTAGTAAGATGGAGGCAAAATTGCCATAGTTAATTTCCACATACTACCCACACTGTTGACGGAAAGCTGGTTGAAAATTAGCAAAGTATCTTTTTAAGGTTATAAATGATCACATTCAGTCTCCTACCAATTGTCAGTATTGATTTCTCTTAACCTTGACCACATTCTGTCCCTAACCTTGGTCATCAAGAGACTCTTTTACCAAAACCTTCCATTTTTCATCTTTCCTTTATGGTTTTAATTTACATATTTTTCTATCTATTCAGTTGACCTAGCTCTATGAAAAACTTGTTGCCTCTGCAATCTCTGACACTCTTCGAGTGCCAGTTGTCCCAATATAACCCTGATCAAGCAGTCCTTTTTTAGCACAACCACATGACCACAATCACTGCCTACTCTTAACCAATTCGTTCTCCTTTTAATTCTGACTGTGATCATTCTGAACACTGGCTTCTTTCACTATGTTCACAATCTGTTGCTAACTTTGATAAAGGGAGTCTTTGAACCAAAACATGAGAAGTCCTTATTTTTATTTAAGTAGCTGTCATTGCCTAAACCTTACACAACAATGACCAAAATGGTGCCAGATCAGAGAAGGCTCATCTGGGTTGGGACTCTAAGGTAATGTCAAGCAGCCTTTTTTTGTAGTTTGGAGAACTTATTGATGCTACCACAGTTCAGTTTGGTTGAGAATTACCAATTTTGAGTGACAGACAGACTTATTGGAGAGGTAGCAGCTGTCTGCCCTGTTCCACTGACCTTTAGCCAAGATACCAAACTCCTACCCGCTCAACAATTGAATCTTTCTGGACTAAATGCCCAGAATATAAATGTAAATGAATCTCAGCTGGCTGACTGGTTTGCTGTTTGCTTGGCTGCCCTTAAATCGGCCATACATTCACAACCTCTTTGGTCTAGAGACTTTTCTCTCAGTCTTATTTCAGCCAGATTGGTCGGCCGTGTCTTGTACTGTGACTACCTCTGGGAGGACTTGACGCTGCTGTGGGTTCCCCCGGGGGGGAATGGTGTGTCCTCTGAGGCGTGTACACAAGGCTAATGCACTCTCACTGTCTCTCTGTACCTGTCCAACTAGCTGTCTCTGCCCCCGCTGCTCTGCCTCTATCCCTCTCTGTCTGTCGCTGTATGTGTCGTCATGTCTCAGCCTCAGGCTTACGCAGGTTA